TGGTTACCATTGGGGAAGAAGAGGAATGTGTACATGTGTGTGTGCTCACGTGCACATGCATGTTGGAGGGAATCCAATCCTACTCTTAAAACTTATTTCTTTAAAAACTAAAGATATAAATCAAATATGGCAAAATACTAAGGTTTGATAATCACAGTGATGTGTATCTGACTTTTATTATTATTTGTAATTTTCTGTATGACCAAAACATTTTGTAATTAAAAAGGACCTGTCTAATAAATGCCAGTTAACATTACATTACTAGCATTTCATATGGAGACCTCTTTGATATTGACCTAACAGTGACTACTATGAATAAATGGTGTTTGGTGGGTTTAAAAGGAAATCTCAGTTTGAATTGGGGGATCATTACTGGGTCTCAGCATTTAAAGATAAATCTGTTTGGCTAGAATTTCACTCACCTTTATCCTCCCATGTTTGATATCATTACAACACTACCATATCCTCGTCTATGAAACAGGTTTACATTCCTTCTGAATTAGGAGAGTTTACCTTCACCTTTCCTTAGTTAGGATTTAGACATATTTCATATTCATCGATTGTTTTGAACCCTGGGGAGAATTTGGAATTCTTTTTGTTGATCTGGAAATTTCTCATTGCTTATGGTTAGGTGCTATAATATATGCCAGAAAATGTAAAGCCCCATGAGAAGAAAATGCTACACTGATAAGACCTCATTTCCATATTGAGGGTAAAAGTCTCACTGGCCGATTTGCCCTCCTATTTCTTCTGGGTAGTGCTGGGGCTGCGTTGTGGGAGGTTGGTAATGGAAGGGGGCTGAACCAGAAGGGGACTGGGAAATGTGGCAACTGAGGTAGACTTCCTTCCTTTTACCTCTTGTTAACTCAAAGAACCAGCAGCATCTCAAGGACAACAAAGTTTCCTAAGATTATGCAAGCAAAAGAAACCTATCTTCTGTACTGCAGAGATACTGTTTTCTGTACTTCCCGGCAAGGAGCAGGGGATGGGACAGGACAGTCTTCGTAATGATAGGAGAGGGCTGATTTTCAAACTGTATTCTCCTGGCACCCTATGAGCCACCTCAGGAAGACATAGTCTTTCTTCCCCTCAAACACTATTTTCAGCCACAAAAGTTCAGCTTTTATTATTTATTTATTTATTTTTTATGCTCATGTTAGACTTCTTAAGGGTTACTAATCTAAAAGAATATGCTTGAAAACCATGGACATAGAATATACATAGGCACTATGATCGTATGATTGCACATCCCATTTTGATTTTCCCTAGTGTGAAAACTTCAGCTAAAACAGAAAGTATTTTAAAAGATGGTTTTTGTCCACTGTATTTACTTCTGTGTAATTATATTTCCTTTCATCTTTTATGACTTTCTAAGTATAGACTGTTGGTCCCCAAGTCATCAGAATCATTGGGAAACTTAAACCATAACAAGTTGCCTATTTTAAAATTATAGGCTCTACTCCAGGCTTAGTGAGGCAGGACCTCAAGTGGTGGGGAGATTCTATCGTAGCCTATCCTTGGGCCAACGTTAGAGAACGGCTGACTTGAGATTGAAGTTATACTCCATAAAAGGTTGCAGAATGACTGAAAAGTTTAGAAAATAAACATCGTGAAAAGAACCAGACTCAGTCTTTTACCTGAAGCTATTGGCACCATCTTTACAAGTAGCTCCATTTTTGCATGGCTGGCTGAGACACTCATCCACGTTTTTTTCGCACCGGGTACCCAAAAATCCAGGTGGGCATTTGCACAAGAACCCCCCAACCTGGTCTTCACAGACTGCATTATTTAAGCACGGACTTGACTGGCATTCATTGACTTCTGCTTCACAGTGCAGGCCTAGGGAGGGATGAGAAAGAGAAAGAGCCCACACGATTAACTCTCTAGAAAACCGTGATCAAAGTGTTCAGTTCTTGCAGAATACTGCTTCTAAAGAATTGGCACAGAAACTTAAGAGTCACTGGCCTATCAAATTGGTTTGAGATCCATTCCGTAATGAGCTCTGGCTTTTGTAAGTCATTTTAGGACTCTGTGTTTTTGATAATCTGCTCTTTTTATCTTACTTCTTTCTGACACTAAGCTTACTAATGGATATCTAATTGAGATAATGTGAAAAAATAAGGCTTGTTCAAAACTTTCCTCTGTTTTTTTGACCTTGCCTCTTTCCTTCACTGGTCATGTTCTTTCTTGGACTTCCTCTTTATCAGTTAAGTATGTTTTAAAATCATATTAGTTTGCATCCATTCGTAATATGATCTTACATGATTTGTCTCTAGTGCCTTCTTTAAAGTTTGTCTTAACACATGTGCACATACACACACTGAACATACTATTTTTTTCTGAACTGTGTGAGAATGAATTTCAGACCTGCGCTCTTTTATTCCAACACCTCAGCACGTATTTCCTCAAAAATGAGGACTTTCTCTTATATAATCACAATACGGTCATAAAATCTGAAAATAACATTAATATATATTAGGAAATGTACTAATTTGTGTAAATCTTGGTGCTTTACAAGATTTTAAGACAATGTAGGAAGAATGGAAACATCTTACCTATATATCCTTTCACACATGTGCAAAGGTAGCCAGCCAAGCCATCAACACAGGTGCCTTTATTTAAACAAGGACTGGAGCTACACTCATTTATATTTTCTTCACATAGTTGACCTGAAAAAAATCATAGATTCTTTGAGCTGGAGAAAACCTGAAAGGACTTTAAGACCAACAGTTTTCAAGCAAGTTGTTCAGGTATAAGAATAGAGCAATTAGAAATTATGACTAACGTGCTTGTGAACAATTTGCTCTTTGCAAAATACATTGAAATAAAATGTTTTCTTTCGTTCTGCGAACCACAAAAATTTTCTAGCAAGAAACTTGATATGCGTGCAATGGAAAATGAAACCATGAATATCTGACCATATTTTTTTAGTTAAAAAGATAAATGTGATTTTGTTTAAAAATTTTTCTCATGTTATTTGTTTGCAAATTGTTCACCCTTTGTTGAGTTGATTCCTTATATAGTTAAGACGCAACAGTTCCAAAGTTGGCAAAAAATTATGGGAGAAATATAGTGAATAAAGAAAATAACTTATTTTGTTATGCAAATTGGGAAAACACAGCTAAATTTCTGTCCAGATGCCCCATGTTCTGTGTGAACATAATTTGAGAATCACTGATGTAATTCATATCCTTTATTTTATACACCTAGAAACTGAGATTCAGAGAGATCTGTGACATTACCAAGGACAAGCACAGAAACAAGCCTAGAATCATAGATCTTCAAATTCAAGTACATATGTACAAAGACTCTTTGGGTTGGAGAGTTTAGGATGCCTAAATTTATAACTCATGGAGTTATCTAACACATATCTAATAATTTACATACCTTTATAACATGAAAATACGCTAAAAGAAAATTTCACCAATAAAAGTCAGTTTCTGAGAATAGTAAATCTAACATAATACCTGCACTTTCATACAGACCAAATGAGCATTTTTTGTTTTTTACAGTAAAGCCACACAGTACACTTAACGTCTAACAAGTATCACAATACATTTAATGTCTAGTAAATACATAATTTTTAATTTAGAAGTTTGGATATATTTTTCTCATAGTATGTGTCTGCCATTCAGGTCATAAGTTTTTACTAGGATTTAACTTTAAGGATCATTAATGTGACATCTGGAATTTTAGACAAAGAAAGAAATGCATGGTAGAGTCGCATCATTTTCATGCTGTATGTGGAAGTGCAATCATATGCATGTATAAACTCAATGTATTTTCCTGTATGACTGGGGCTACCACCGTTGCACAGATTCCAAATAGAGAAAATAAAAGAATTAGTTCAAATGATTACTACTACAAATTATGATGTCAAACATTTTCATTTCTTTATGAAAATTGTTTTTAGATTATAAAGTTATCAGAATCTGGTTTTTGAAATGGTTACATTGATTTTACTGAACTTATTAAATTATAGAAAATTATATACCCACCTGTATTATTAATAGAATATATATTTAGATATATTTTTAGGATATAATAATTTTGAGTTAGGTACAGTGCTGGTTGACACAGATGTTCTCAGTACTTTTCATGATAATATTATAAGATTATTACTATTTATAAAGTAGTAAATCATATTCTACTTTATAATATATTATCAATATTTTAATGATTATAATGTGATTGAACAAGGGAATTGAGAACAAGATCCACGTTTTGAATTATTTTTTTGTCAGGGGATATTGGAAACTGCAACTCTCTGACTTAAATAAGATATATGCTTAAATATATGTATTCATTTAAGTTAAAAGGAGAGGCATATGGTCCACAACAATTTCAAGGATACAAGCGCCTAATATCCACAGTTATTAATAGTAATAAGCACACACACACACACACACACACACACACAAACACAGCAACAGAAATAAGCACACACACACTTCATAAATTCAGCACAATGCTAGTAAAAAGATTGAAAAGGACCTAATATTTGTCTGCTACTGTACCAGCCTTGACATATTTCCTCTCATTTCCTGATTCTATTTTTATATATGAAGAAACATGTTCAGAGAAATTAAATGTCTTTTCCAAGGTGACACATCTATCTGGCAAAGATGGGACCAGGTCTGCCATAGGTTTTATAAACCTCAAGCAATTTCATACTGCCAAATTGATATCTTATTCTTTTTACCTAACAGAATAATGAAAATAACACTTTCCCAATGCATAGAAATATTATAATATTAGCAGATATGCCTTTCCAGTATATTTATAATGCCCTATAAATGTATCCTAATGATACATTCCAAATTTGCCTTAGCAATAAAATCTTAATAATTCCAAGGTTTACATTGTAAAAGTAAGAAACTTTCCCCTTACCTGTGTAACCCAATGGGCACTCACAAAAGAATTCCCCAACTCGGTCTTTACAAATTCCATTGTTGAGGCACGGCAGTGAGCTGCACTCATCGATGTCTATTTCACACTTTAAGCCTAAAATGCAAACCAAACACTGAAGGACAATCCAAGAAAATGATTAACAGAAACAGAACCATGATCGTTTACAGGTAATTATCTCAATAATCTGAATTTATAGGGGAGTAGTGGCAAGAAGGATAAAATTTATTAAGTGCTACCATCCATTAAATATTTAATGAAAGCATTACCTTTTTTTCAACAGATTTAATGTATCTTTATAAGGATACAAAGGAGATGGCAAAAGATGCCAAATTAGAAGTGGGGTGAGGGGACCTGGAAGCATAAGATAGAACTAGGAATTATATTAATTACAAAGTTAAAAATATGATGTCATATATGCTTGGTACCAAGGTCACCTGGCTGAGGGGTGGAGGTGGGGATAAATCCTACCAGATCTCAGCTCACATGCCAGGTGTCCCAGTGTGAGCTGCATCTTCCCATAGCGTGCACACAGGCTTTCATGGCTAGCTCTGCTGGAAGCCCATATTCTCCCTCTGTTCTAGGCCCTGCACCACTAGCATCAGCATTATTTGGGAACATAATAGGAATGCAAATTCTCAGGCATGCACCCCAACACCTACAGAATCAGAAATTCTGGCGCTGGGGTTTAGCAATCTGTGTTTTAACAAGCCTCGCAGATGATTCTGATGCACACTAATGTTTGAGACCCACTGTCCTATATTACGCCCTCTCTCAACAACCACTCATTTATACAATTCTGGAACAAGATCCATTATTTCTTATGGAATGTCAGGACAAAAATTTTTATTAAAACTCACACACACACACACACACAC